TGGTCCGCTTGTCCTTTCAAGTGGGAATTTCCCATCTCTGGAGATCTGGATGTGGTTCAGGCTTCCACCTATAGTCTTATGTATTGCAGAGGCTCCGCAGGAAGCCTCCTTCACTGGTGTGTTATGTTCAAGGTCATATTTGGGGTCTCGTGGACTTAATTTTAATTTTCTTCATTTTTAGCCTAAACTTGCTGATGAGCAATTGATGGTCTGTTCCGCAGTCTGTCCCTGACCTTGTTTTGGCTGATGATATAGAGCTTTCCCACCGTCTCTTTCCACAGATGTAGTCAATTTGATTTCTGTGTATTTCATCTGGTGAGGTCCATGTGTATAATCAGTCATCTTTTATGTTCTTTATATAAGGTATTTTCAGTGAAGAAGTCATTGGTCTTGCAAAAGTCTATCATGTGATCTCTAGCATCATTTCTATCATGTTTTCCAGTTACTGATCCTTCCTCTTTGTTCCCAGCTTTCGCATTGCAATCGGCAATAATGATCAGTGCATAGATCCCGTGAATGTAAGAAAAGGAAATATTTGCCATATTACTAATTTTCCTTGGCAATTTTGGGTAGAGTGCACATGATGCTTTCATCATAATGGGAGCCCTGGGCTAGCGGGGATTAACTAGAATACACAAGTGAGAAATCTGACCCAGAAAACCGTGCAGAGATTTTGCCTCACAGGGAGACAGCTATGTTGTTTGGGAGTCCTGGGACTGGCTGAAGGGAGAAGGGTGAGGTCAGGCAGTCTACAGCACAAGCCAGGGAGGGAGCTCAGGAGAGCATGTTTGGTGACTGAAGCATCCCTACCCCGTGCACTGACAATGGAAATCTCACCCATGCTCACCAAAGCTCACCAAACAGCAGCCGTGGGTGTTACTGCTGTTTCCCAGCATGCCCGTGAACAGCTGGTCCTCAGGCAGGTACACCAGGCATTGGGTCCTGCTCACTTTGTGTGTGATTTTCCGAGATGCTCGGTGAGTAAGAGGGAGGAGTGAGCTTTTCCATCTCACTGACTGTTGGGGTCCAGTGATCTGTGTGAGATGGAAGCAGACACATGGTCAGTGT